ACAGTAATGATGAAAAGGTAAATTATACGCCGTGAAAAGATGAAAAAACTTACTGACGTTTCGGACGCTAGTCCTTCGTCGGAGTAAAAGATAGTAAATTAGGTGATTAGAGCCAATTTTTTGTCAGAATTCGACTAAACAAAAGAGAATTATACACAGTTTAAGAAACGGAACCCCCCTTTGAAAAATCCTTGATCCGCCACTGTTACTACTTCAGTATTAAAATAAAATTGTCTTCAAATACTCACATGTAAGATAGGCTAATAACGCAGTAGCATTGAGAGTAAATGGTTTGAACCCAGGTGTCGAGGTTTGTTGTGAAGTGTGATCATCCCGGTGAGTGTAGTCTTGAGAAAGACTGTTGTTGGTGGTGACTGACGTTTCGACAACTTGAGTGGAAGTCATCTTCAGAGTTGTGTGAGAAAACGAGAGAATAAACAATAGCCTTGGTTGGTTAAATAAAGTCACGGTAGGTAACGTGTTAGGACCAAACTTGAACTCGATTACCAATGCATTCCAACACAAAGACCTGACCATGAGCTGTAACAACAACATCAGCAGGGCTTCGTGTTCCAACATCCAACCCACCAAATGATCTTATGAATATTCCATCTTGAGTTAGCAACTGTACACGGTGGTGTTTCACGTCGCAGACAAGAATCATGTCCGGGCCAAAGATTCCCAAGCCTCCAATCCCATTAAACTGACCATCCTTCTTGCCCTTTTTGCCAAATTTGCACAAAAACTTTCCATTCTTGTCAAAAACGGCAATAAAGTCTTTCTCAAAATAAGAAATGAAATACTTGCCATCACGATAAGCAATGTAGCTAGGCTTCTCATCTTTGCCAAGACTGGCTGGGAATTCAAAAACCTTTTCCCCTTGATTGGTGAAAATCTTGACGCTGGATTTGATGCCAAGTTCATCATTTCCCCAACACGTAACTGCGATGTTATTTTCATCTGTAGTGCACATTGCGCCAGGGCGAAACCACCCGACAGGTCTATAAATTGTTTTTACAAAAGTACCATTCAAATCGAATACTTGGATCCTACCATGATTATCGGGCTGGTCGATGACAATGATTTTGTCTTCGTTGAAAACAGCACCAAAAGGCTTAAACAATGCACTTTCTCCTAGGGAAAAATCTCGTAGATGTTTTCCCTCGAGATTGAATATCTGCACTCGATGATTGTTGCATTCTGCAATTGCAATCTCGCCTTTATCACTGAGAGATATAGTTGTAGGTTTGTCAAGCTGACCTTTACCAGCTCCTTTTTCTCCAAACATTTTCACAAGTTCAAACTCTTTTTTTGCATCGAGTGAGTTTACCTTCTGTGGCGAGTTCTTTATCGGATCACCTCCAATATTGACCTGGATTTCATGGAGTCCAGGTCTTTTTGCTTTATAACTTAGGCAAAATTTCCCTGCTTGCCTGCTAACGACTTTCTTTTCTACCTCGTTGCCCTCGACGTCTGTAATCATTATATCAAAAGACTCTTCTCTTGCGTAACACAATTCTCCTTCAGCATTTCTTGTGACAATATAAAACTCGTGTTCAAATCCACATCGAACGTCCTTCAATCCCTCGATTGTACATCTTAAAGGATCTGTAACATGTTTTTTGAAGTTCCCGACGTTTTGCAAGGACTCCAAAACATCTTGATTAGCTGTATATTTGTATGTCTCGTTACGGTGAATTGACTTGCTAAGCAAAGCTGTAAGCGTGTCTAACAAAGCCTGACCTCTTTGCTTTATAGCTTCCTCATTCTCAAGAATCTCACATGCAACATTCCTCTCCTGTACTAATTGGCAGTACTGCTTATATTCATCTAAGTGGTCAATCCCGTTGGTTAAATCAGTTTGCTCTTCTTTGATTTCCAATGTTTTTTCAAGTAAGACTTTATCTAAGGTTTCAATCGTTTTAATCTCATGTTGTTTTAGTGTCTGGATCAAAGCGTCTACGGTATTATGGACGTCTCGCTTTGCTGACTCAATTTCATTTTGTATCCTTTGCATATTTTGCTTGGATTGTTCTAACTCTTCTTTGTATTTGTCGGTCAACTGATGGAGTCGATTCTTGTCTTGTTCCATGGCTGTTTTAATTTCTTCAGAAGCTTCCTCTAAACTGCACATGCAATGATTTTGATGATATAAAGTGGCACACTTTTGACAAATACACTGTCTACAGTTCTTCTCTTTGCAATAGTATTCAAGCCTTTTTTTCTCATGAAACTTCGCTTTGCATAGCATTTGATTCTTGATGTAATTATCCACGTTTTCTTGCTTAAACTCTTTCAGCATCATGATGTTGTGGTCTGTTCGAAGTTGTTTTATCTTCCTATGCGAGTCGATGCAGTCTTCACAAATCAATCCGTTACATTCTGGGCAAAACGCCGCCAAAACTTGAGATTTTTCACAACTCGCACATTCGGGTAAACTCTTTTGCTCCTGATCGGAATTGCTTTTCATCGCGTGAAGAAGTCGCAGAAGAGCATCGAAATAGAAAGAGGAACGAAGCTTCGAAGCATCGCCGTCTGGTAAATCAATTTCTTCTGTTTTACACATTGGACATGTAAACTCAACTGCCCGAAACTTGCACTTCTCGTACCAATCCTTGATACATTTTGAACAGTAGCTGTGAAGACAAGGAAGTGCTTTGGGGTTTTCAAAAATTCCTAGGCATATCGAACAAGTGAGTTCTTTTTCTAGGTCATCAACATATGCTTTTAAAGTAGCCATTGCGTACTGTTAAGTGTTAAAACACTGCAGCTACCGAGACAAGGTCGAATTTGAACTTTTCCCAGAATTATCTTGCCTCGTTTTGAAACTTGGAACGAGCGCGAAGGATGATGGGTGGAGTTGATAAATAAGAGTTGCAGGAACGTTGTCCTGTAAAAATGTCAAATAACAAATAGGAATTAATATTTTTTTGAGCAAAACAGGATAGTTATTATATAGTTATTATATAATTACTAATTTTTCGGTATTGAATTTATTTACGCAAAAAGAAAGACAGTCGCAGGATCTAGCAGAACTTCGCGCCCGCGGATAGCTCGCGCGTACTATCCTAACTATATTAGAGTGACGAAAATAACACCAAGTCGAAGATGAACTTGACAAATTACGGTAAATGTGCATAAACACATCAAGTCTAACCTCTTCAGGTATAGATATCATGCAAATAATTATCTAATACATCGTCTTGAAGTTCCAAATTAATTTTTAATATATTAGAATAATTGTAATGAAAAGATTTATATATCGAACACTCTCATTGGTTTAAAGATGAACACGTGACACTAGCTAAATCTAAATGTTTCCCGACCGGGAAATGTCGGGAAATAAGTTGCACGTGACAAGAATGGTGAAAATAAACAAGTGCACGTGATCAGAACGTGAAAAACGATGGTGGCGTAATACTTTGAGCCAATCACAAACAACAAAGCGGGAGCAGGCATTTTGCTGGAATTTTCAGTATGAATGGAGCTCAAAGGAAAAAAGCAGAGATTATCCAGTGTTTCTAGAGGAGAACTACAGACTTTCGTCGAGAAAAGGGATTCGGAAAATACGAAAAAAAGCGACTAAAAATACTATTGCTACTCTCCTCGCATTCCGGTAGCGAAATACAAGACCGTATCTGAGTTGTATTTGTAAAATTATTTGTCAGTCTTTTTTAGTTACAGTGGAACCCCGTTAATGCGGCCACCGAAGGGACATTCAAAAGTGGCCGTTTTAACGGGGTGGCCGTATTAAGCAGGCTGTCAAAAATATGTTAAAAACGTGTTTTATTAATCAGTACGAAACTACTAAACAAATGAAGTGCAATAATGCATATTGTATTTTCAAATAATGTTTCTAAAACTTCTGATGCTCTTGGCTCTCATTTATAACTCAACTTTAGTAGTTCTTTAAAACTTTGAATTATACAGTAGTACAGGACTGTAGATATAACAGTAGAACAGAGAAAATTGAGTACAGTAACAACTACTTTTTAAAATAGGCAGTGACTTTGCTCTGTACAGACGAATGAAGCTTCCTTTGAAGCCATGCTGACTCGAGGCTGGATATCACCCCAGATAGGCTATCGGCATGGGTCGTTATAATACTGTACCGCTATAAAATAAATGCGGACATACTGTAGCGCATCGCGCTGTACGTGTTTCTCTGTTTGAAGTTGTTGTGTTGATTCTGATTCTACAAAAAGCATTACTGTAGAATGTTAACCGAATGAATTAAAGAATCACAGATTTTGCAGCAATAACTTTACAGTATTTACATTAAGATCTAAACTGTAACCTGTTGGCCGTATTAACGGGTGGCCGTATTAAGCGGGTACATTTTATAGTGAATGTATGGGCATTTCGTAGGGACCCAAAAGAGCTGACCGCAATAACGGGGTGGCCGTATTAAGCCGGTGGCCGTAAGGCGGGGTTCCACTGTATTTTTATTTAAATTAGCTCGCTAGATAAAGTTCTTATAAACTGACTCCTCAATATTTCTTAATTGCTATATAACAAAACACTTAATGTTTGGTCCTTCGGGAAATTAATTAGAGTTTAGATCGGTTTCGAGACACTCGGGAAAACAATACTAACTATTTCCCTCGTGACCAGACACTAAGTAATGTCATCGGTCCACTTTTGGCAAAAATTGAAAGCAGTGTCCAAGTTTATTGCTTTTGACCAATCATCACCCAGTATCTCATGACAACTAAGTATAGGTTAATAAACAGATGTTTTATTGCTCTTACATCAAAATAAGCTTTGCAAACTCCCACAGCAAATTGAAAACGAAAACTGGTAAGTCAACTGATTCATTTTAAGCTTTAAAACTTTGACTAAATTTAAAATTTTAGTGAACAATTCAATTTTCGTTAAATGTTTTTTTGTCAAACACTTTTTAACAACATTTGCGACTCGTGCCCCGTCCAAATCTAGCCGGATACTTTTGAAATCGTTCCTTTGCGCATTGGCTTTGAAAACGCAACTCGAAACAGATACTTCGAGTGGACGGGAAAAAAGGATTCGAAAATTATTTTTTTTTGGAAACGGAATAACAAAGTTCCGTTTTCAATTATCCTCGGCGCCTCAGTTGGTTTTTCGTTACTACGAAAGTACAGTTTCAAAAATAATAGTATGTCATTCTGCTTATTATAAGTCTAATGTCGATATTCGAAGTAACGAAACCGTTTTCTTAAAAATTTTTGAAGAAAATGGTTTATGATTAAAAGAAGACAGTTAACAAAATGCGAAAAAATTAAAATTAAAATAATAAAACAGCTTTATGGGCATCAATAATTAAGCAGCTCAAACGAACATCCATATTCTTATCAAATCTTGGCGTGTTTCTTTGTGATAACAAAAGCTTAAAAAAAGAAAAGCGAAATTAAACATTTCAATAACTCTTATTAATCGTCATTAAAAAGTATTCTGTTCCTGTGACTACGTCTTAGGGATACCATTTTTTGTCTTCATTAGGCAAATACTTTTTTAAACGCTAGTTTGGTCACGGGTGGTTTCAATAATTAAAGAAAATATGACAAAAACAACCTCTGGGCTTGTCTAAGTCAGGGCACGGCAAACTCACAGATCGAGCCCTGTAACAACCTCTGGGCTGATCTAAGTCAGGGCATGGCTAACTAACAGATCAAACCCTGAAACAACCTCTGGGCTGATCTAAGTTCAGCTTGTTGGATAGAAGAAAACCGGAGAGCCTGGGCAAAATTCCTCCAATCAAGGGAGAGACACAACAAACTCTGCTCGTGTGTGATACCGAGTACAGGAATTGAACACAAGACCCGAGACCCGAGACCCGAGACCCGAGATCCGATTCTACGGCTATTTCTCTGTCAGTTCCATAAACTATGTATTTGGTGGAACCAGGAAGCTTTGTACTATACTTTCACCCTAGATATATATGTTATTTACCGGCCAGGAGGTCCTGATAGGGAAAAACTGCCCAAGGTCTTGAATATACAGACCGAGGGCGTTAGGCCAAGGTCCGTTTTCGCGACCGAGGGCACAGTTTTTCCCTATCCGGACCGACTATAGGACGGTAAATAACTTGTATATTTTTTTGTTTAGCGGCAAAGGATACCGGATTGCGAGCGCGGGCAGATACTGACAAAATACCGCCCGCTCAAACAGCCAATCAGAACGCATGATTTTTTAGGATACCGGACCGGAAAAAAATAATATACATTATTACTCTTTATTCATATTTTTAAGGAGTGATCCAAGCGATCAGAGGTGACTACTATCATCCCAATTTCACCTGAATCCCCTCCTTGACATAATTTATCAATTCTTTTGAGTTTCAGGACTTTTTTTTCCAATGTTCCAATTTTCAGAAAAAGCAATGTTGTCAACGGGCTTTCTTGTAATTGTGACTTGCGCAGTAGCCACCAGCGGATCCGGTCCCTTCAGAGGTGTCTGTAGAAGGAAGGGCATTTTCCAGAAAATTGGAAAAGGTAAAAAGATGAACAACTCATTTATTTTTTACCCGAAAATAATTTATTGAAGTGAATTATTTTTACATTCGTAGATCGAGTTTTGCAGAATCACGTGATAGTAAGTCATGACGTCAGTTCCGGTCTGGATTGTGCGCAGCAATGTCTTGGTACAGCTGGGTGTAAGTCGTACAATTTCCAAGAAACTGGTTCTCCATTACATAAGTGTGAGCTTAGTAACCAGACGAAGACCTTAAGGCCATCGGATTACGTCATCAAAGTTGGGTTTTCTTATAATGATGCTGAACACTTCGTAAGTATGGACCCCTTGTACTGAGTCCCGAGATGACTAGACTACTTCGACGATACGGTGGCCATATTGGATCGCAAGGCATTAGGGGGGGGGGGGGTCCGGGGGGCAAATAAAGCTTTGTCACATAATGACGTTGATTGATATTAACAGCTCACCACAAGAGAATGCAACAAAAGAAGAATAGAACGTTTGCATGATGGCGTCATTTGACTCCATCTAGCAAGATGCTTCGCGAATTTTCTTTCATATTTAGGTTTGTATTTCCTCATGAGAATAGTAAGACAATTGGTGCTAATCAACTGAACAAAATAAACTGTGCAAGGGAGTCTGGTAGTAGAGGTCAATGACGCCATCATGCAAACGTCTTATTAAGACAGCACGTCGATAGTCGATCACCTTTACCCATTAAAAAAAAAAAAAACGCAAGAAACTCTATATATTTTCCGTTGTCTCTGTTTTGTTTTGCCTCCTGACAATCGTCGGAGTAGTCCATTAATGTTCTGGTTGACCCAACACAAGTTTTTTTTTACATAAGGAAAGACGGCCAATTGCTTTGTCTCCCAGAACATTTCTTCTTGGAAATCAATGCAAGGGGTCTATATAAGCAACCCATCAATCATTACATGTTATATAATATACCTACGATATTACATGAAGCTTATGCAGATGCTAATTTGGAAAGCTAGCTGAACTACTACAATGTACATCACACCTTTTCGTGCCATCTATTGCTGGGTTTGAATCAGTGGATAAAATCTTATTTTCTGCTCCACATGGTAGTCAAACACTGACCACCATGTGCTGTCAACCAGAAAGAATTCTATTGAAAACATGCCATTCAGCCGGTGAGCATTCAGCACGACAGGAAATGACGTCAAGTGTAACCCAGCAATTGATGGCTTGCAAATATTCCCCCGAGAGCCATGAACAAGAGATAACGGCCATGTTGATGATAAATCTGTTGTTAAATACCACCAACACGGATGCCTAACATATCATGCAAATGAAGCAGTCTTCATTCAAGTTCTCGAACAATCTTCAAATTACTAGATAACATTGGACCCTACTCAAAAATAATTTGGATGTGAGGCTAACATGTAAATACATAAGAAGTCACACTTTTTCTCAATGGAATTAGTGACATTTCTTTTGTATTTTCATGTTAGCTTCACATTCAAGGCAATTTTGTGATGTCCATACAACAGATGGACAGATGTCCATGCAACATTGTTTCCATTTTCAACAGGACGTACTTAAGTGTTCCTCGAGTCCTTGTCAAAATGGTGGCACGTGCAGCTTCGTCGATTGTTCTGATTCCTTTGTGTGTTCCTGTAAACCAGGCTACACAGGAAAACACTGCGAAACTTGGAGTGGTTAGTATGAGATTCCAGTATGAAAATGCTGTGCTGTGACTGTGTGATTCCTTGCCTGCTTGCCTGCTTGCCTGCTTGCCTGCTTGCCTGCTTGCCTGCTTGCCTGCTTNTCTGTTTGCCTGCTTGCCTGCTTGCCTGCTTGCCTGCTTGCCTGCTTGCCTGCTTGCCTGCTTGCACTATATCTTTGTTTCATCTTTTATGCTGCAATTTGGTTCATTCCTTTAAAAATACTTCCAGGTTTCGACGGATCCAGGTCCAGTCTTCCAGGAAAATCCTGTCTGACCATCAAGTCCCTTGGTCAACACACTGGGGATGGTAGATATTGGATCGACCCAACCAGCACAGGGAACCCATTCACTGTCTACTGTGACATGACAACAGATGGAGGTAAGATGTGAATGCTATTAACGGCCATTTAGGTCTCTGTACTGTGACATAAACACACTAGGAGTCGAGAGGCATTAGAGAAACAACATTATATTGCCACCAGTTAGCTCAGTTGGTAACAGCGTCGGTCTGTTGAGCGGGAGGTCGTGGTGAAAGCCTCGACCGGACAAACACTCGAGGCCTTAAAATAACTTGTCTCCGAACACTTCCTAACCTGAGGTAAAAATGGGGGACAAAAAAACCTGTTGAATTATTCGTGTAAGAGTGTAGGGGATTGTCTCCCGGTTCAACAGCCTATCCCAATCTGGAGGCATAACACTAATGTACTAACAAATCACTTGTATTGATTGTAAGCTGCACGGCTGCTAATGGCGCCTTAATATGCAGCCTGTAAAGTCCTCCACTGGTTATGAATGTAAAGCGCATTGAGACGTTGTATAAATGCGCTATATAAGAACCTCCCATATAGATGTAGATGAGTGCTACCCATGATTTTGGAGACATCTACAGATCCTAAAGGTTTATATAAGTGTATATATTTTTATGTAGGCGGATGGACCCTCATCAGGAATGTCACTTTCCTTTCTTCGTCAAGCAATGCAATCCAAGCCCTGAGAGACTACCGCAAAATAACCAGTCTCACCCTATACCAGTTTATTGATCAACATGCACTATTGAACTTGAAGAATGACATGGGTTATACGCAAATTCGCTACTTCTGTCGCAAAGTGTCTGAACGAAGAACATTTCACGTTATGACAGCTAAAAATGACCTTGGATTTGATGTTGTTAGGTACGTATCTAAAACCAAAGGGTAGTACTACTTTGGGCTTAGCATTGGCACGTATGCGATGACCCTTCAACAAGGGGAAGCCAAAATTGGCCCGCTCGCATCGAACTCAAGCGGTATGATTTGCGTTCAAGACCCAGTAGAACTGAGATTGAACGGCCTAACACTCCAAATCATTAGTAACCATCACTGTGATCTTCTTAAGTCGTTTCATCTAAGGCTCGTAATTTACCTATTACGCATGTTCTTATTTGATATCCGAGCCCATCCCACACGGCTTACTGCTTCATCTATCCATCACTGTGATGGTAATTTCCAAATAGATTCTACAAAGAATTGGGATCAAATTCATTTACTGAGGAAGGAATGTTAATATTAATAAGTGTTTATTTAGTTCTTGTAGCGTAATTGTACTTGGCGACCCTAAATGACAATTAGTATTTTTGTTCTACAAAAGATAGAAATGACTCGTAAAAATGCTTAGAGGTTATCAGTTGGCTAACTTTCAGCTCGAGATTCTCCCGGCTCCTGAGAGCTGAAGTACTCTTCTCAAGATGTGTGCCGTGCCTAAAAGTACAGATTTCTGTAGGCCTAACAAGCTTATACTATCAAGTTCTAGTCTCTGAACATGATCCTTAAATTGTTTTGATATTGTTCCGAGCAATCCAATGACTATCGGTACTACCATGGTCTTCATCCTCCACAATCTTTCTATTTCTATTCTTAGGTCTTGGTACTTGTCAATCTTTTTCCCATTTCCTTTTCTATGGTCAATTCTATGGTCCATAGGCATGGAGATGTCACTGATCAGTTTCGCCTTCTTCTTGATCTTATCTACGACTATGACTGTCCGATCTTCCTGCTTCAATCTTCTTATCCGTGTAAACATTAAAATCCCATAGGATCTTGACCTTTTCGTTTTCCACTACTTTCTCTGGTTCGTGATCCCACCAATTATCAGCCAGATATTATTATTATTATTATTATTATTATTATTATTATTATTGTCTTCATTTACAATTTGCCTCAATTTTGCTTACAAAATTCTTAGTTTACCGAGTCCAATCCATTATTATTACTATTAGAATATCTTTAAAAAATCTTTAAAAAATCGTAGGCAAACGTACAGGGAGTCCGTGCGACTATTATCGTCATTTCATTTCCTTTCCTTTCCTTTCCTTTTCTTTCCTTTCATTTCATTTTACTTTACTTTATTTTCTTGTTGCTGAACAGATACATGGTTATCAACGCATCGCCATTTCCCACCGTCTGCAATTCATTCGTTCGTCTACCAGACGATAATTCCATCCTCGCGGTAAATTGTGATAAATGGGGTTACGGTAAAAATGGCGCAAGGATGACTAACAAATGGGGCCGTTACCCATACAATGGTGATTGGAGAATGTACAAGAGTCCTGTTACCTGGACTGGAGTACGATTAGTTTCATTTATTCAAGGTGAATATAAGTGCGAAGACTACAATACACACGCCCAAGCTGGCGACGTCTGGAAAATGTTTGTGCGATAGCTGAAAGGTTAAATATGATCCGCGTGTGTTTAAGGCACGTCCTACAAAATATGACTTTACCCAAGCTAGGCCAGGATGCACCTCGTTCCTTATCCCAGGTCTAGCTTTGAGCATGACCTTATAAGCATGATGAACAAAGGATGTTTGTACCCAAGCTAGACCAGAATGCCTCTTGTTCCCTATCCCCGGTCTAGCTTTGATCAACACTATATAAGGCATGATGAACAAAAGATGTTTGTACCCGCCCAAGCTAGACCAGAATGCACCTCGTTTCTTATCCCAGGTCTAGCTTTGATCGACACCATATAAGGCATGATGAGCAAAGGATGTTTGTACCCAAGCTAGACCAGAATACACCTTGTTCCTTATCCTAGGTCTAGCTTCGATCAACACCTTATAAAGCGTTTAATTTTTTTCTAAGTACCACAATTAAGAGAGTCCGGTTCGTTTTCTTTGCCTGAAAGACAAACACGTCGAATTTAAATCTATTGAGCTGGGAGAATCGTTTGAAGTTTCTCTACAAACTGATAGACCATTTTCATTGATTCGATTAGAATTTGTTTAAGTTGAGAAACCGCTGCAATCAGGAACAAACGAATAGATAAACCCGCAATCTGCTGCATTATTTGAGGGATCCGCCAAAAATTTACTCTGAATCCGTATTGCGGCATCAGTATACCAGTAGACCGTATTTGCTCTATTGAGCCACCTGGGTGCTTTTAGTGCTAGTAAATGAAATATGGTTTAAGAGTTGATTAGGAGTTTCAAAAGGTCCTTTCACTGGATGTGAACTACACAAGACCATAACTATTTCACATCCATTGAAAGGACCTTTTTCAGAATCCATATTAATGTTATGTGTTTTGATCAACACAAAATAAAAAAATAAAATAGACAAAAAGAAACATGGACGAATATGATTTAAGAGTTGTATTCGAAGCCGCTGCTTCAA